CACTTTGATCTATCATTGAAACTTTCCGAAGGGGAGGTGCATGACTTTTCGGGGAGGGAAGGTGCAAAAATTCTCAGAGGAGGTGCAAAACGATCTCAGGAGAGGTGCGCACCTCCCCTCAAAATCCGGCCATGATATATTAAATGTTTCTCTCGTGTTTCAAGGTGATTCCAGAAACGTCTGCGCCCCCAAATTCTTTCCCGTTGCCCCTGCAAAGATGAATTCTAGTTCTCAACCTTCCACTTCGTCTGCAAAGCCCGAGGAGACTGTACCAACTACAAGGATAAGCCGTCGTGTACAGGGCCTCGCTGCAGATGCGGACGTCCAACCAGGTTGGTATTTTTGCTGAAGAGAAATTATTTGTACTATGTATGGGAATGAAACGCGTACACCACGATGAAACCGCTGTTTATACAGCAGGATAAAGGAGCACGCGATATAAAACTATCAAATATCTCTATCAAAACTACAATGGAACTAACAGCACACCAATACTCCGCCTTTCTTGGCTTTATAATAGCTGCATCTGTAATTTTACACAATTCTTAATCCTGAGGATGACTACAAACTAGTCGAAACGTCGATTAAAAATCAAAATGGTATTCGGAGTTACTGTTATTTTGTATTTTCTTAAAAGACTCTAAAGTAACATGTATATCATATGATTTTCGTTTTGATAACTGATAAAGAATATTGATAGAGCTGACCACTGGTCTTTATTACTCAGACAGAAACCTAACTTTAATCACGGAACTAAGCTTGTAAAGAACTAATAATGTTTAACTAATGACCTCATAGTATATATACCTATGACATGTATAGTAATTTCATCATTCCTGTTATGACTAAAATCTAGTTCAAAATGTTTTCAGTTTTTCGGAGTTACTATATTGTATCCAACATGATGTATTTATGTTTTGATTTATTTTCTAGAACACCTACCCTCGAATCCAATTCCTCACTCAAGTAAAAGGACAGTTCCCGAAGCAACAAAGGACGGTGAAGTTGTCAAGGTGCCAAGTGAAAAGAAAAGCCCTAAACGAAAAAGTAAAAAGCGTCGCAGTCGAGCTCAGTTTAGGAGAAAATCCACTCGAATCCAGAGAGAATCTCGAGAAGGGGAAAATAGTGATCCAGAAAATGAGGAGACAAATGAGGGTGTTGGGGATGACGAGGAGGTAGTAAGTGGTAATGTGGATAAAACAGAGGAAACTGTTGTTGATAATGGACATGATGTGGTATTTGTAGATGACAAGGAAAGTCAAAGCAAAGAGTTAGATGTGGACAGTATTCGAACATTGAGGTTGGTTTGAAACTTTTATTCCATTTACTGTATTCTCAGTGTTAGGATACAGGTACTTTCAATTTTAGAAATTTAGTAGCAGTGGTGGATCCAGCAAATTTTTTTTTTTTGGGGGGTGGTGCTAACCAATGGCGGAACGAAATGGCATTTCATGGGTCTCTGAAATGGCATTTCCAGCATTCTGAGAAAACATTCTGGAAAATTTTTAGATTCTCAAAACATTTCAAAATTTATTCAATATTTAATATTGGCTATTTCGCTATTGTCAACTAGTGATACGCGAAGTGAACTTAATGTGGATAGTATGAATATTAGTGGGTTAGGTAAATTTAAAAAACACTTAGTTAATAAAACACTTTTAGTAAATGAAAGTTGTGATCATTTTCTGATCACACAGACATTCTCATTGAAATATGTAGATATTGCAATTTAAACTATATATATTTTTGGACCACAATGTAAAATACTGGTTTACCAGTAATTTGTGTAATCCTGTAATAAAGTTCATAAAGTTCATACGCAACTGAATTCCTTAACATAAGTTGGTTAGAATTAGGATAAACGTCATTTTTGCACCCCCCCCCCGCACCCCTGTTGACCAGGCCTGGGACCCCCTAAATCCACCACTGTTTAGTAGGCCTAACCTCTGGCAGGAATCGAACCTGGATCGCAGGTTCAATTCCCGCCACAGGATCTATAGTTGCATTTTTCACAACTGCTCCTCGTTAGATCTGATGAATGTATAAAAATTCCACTTAAAATTTCCATCGACAAAATGCTTCAACAAATTATATTCTTTCCCATCCACAGCACGATTGAGGAGGAGGAACTTGCAGACAAACTGACATCAAGCGATGGCAACCCAGATGCCTGTACAAATCACTACATTAATTCATTACGAATGCGTAGCGACGTGAAGACAGCGTTAAAATCACACCTGGATAGCTTGAACTGTGACCACGATAACGCTAATCAACACTCGACGGACAAAGATAAAGAACGTTTAAGCGAAGCCAATGTTAGCATGGCCACGAGCGAAATAAGTAACTGCGATTCAAAAGACGTTGCCGAGCTAGACAGCATGTTATCTACCAGCCCGCATCATAATGGCTTCACTCATGATGACACCGATTTAGAGCAAGACGTCACTCGTGCAGCTGGTAATGCTGACGTCACTACAAATAATGACGTCACCTGTAATAGTAACCATGGTAACAATGACGTCAGTGATGACGTAACCAATGACAATAACCTCACTCGTAATAATGACGTCACTCATGACAATGACGTCACCCAAAATGACGTCACAGAGACAAGTTTTAATCAAATTTCTCCCGTTGACGAAGATGATAAGGAACTAAGCAGTGTTGAAAAGTCTAAGAGAGTTCTTTTCAGTGATGATAGAGATGTTTTTGAACAAGGTAAAACCTAAAATATTCAGTGTAGGCGCCTTTCACCTGTGAGTTCGTGGTTTCGATTCTCGCTACGGACGCATGTGAAAAGAGTGAGTCAACGCTCTGCCAAAAGTCATGGATTTCTCCTAGTACTCCGGTTTCCTCCCACAGGGAAAGTTGACAGGGTGGGTTAGGATAAACACAGTTAAGAAAGTGTAATATCAAATAGTCTGGGATAAGTATGTAATTAGGTAAGCGTAATACTTGATGTAGAGCGTGTTTGATCATACCACATGTAAATTTGTGCTGTAGGAGTCTTAATCTGTTTCTTTTTAGATCAATCGATGGACACAACAGAGACTTCTGAAGAAGACAAGGGAAGGTTTGAGCGACTTTTAGTGGAGTACGTTGAAGCTACGGACGAGATGGCTGTAGAGAGTCTAGAATTATGGCATACACGCATAAGACAATGCATATTACAACACAAGAAGGATCAGTCTCGATTACCATTATTTGAGGTAGGACATTTTAACCACATTAATCAATCTTATATAAGGCCGCTTTACACCACACGACTTTTGCCTAAAACTATCGCATACAACCTGCTTAAAACTTGAGTTGTACTTTGTAAAGCCTACGTTGTCGTAGGTGAGTTGTGTGCTTGATTTACACAGTACAACTCAAGTTGTAAGCAGGTTGCATGCGACAGTTCTAGGCAAAAGTTGTGCACTGTAAATTGGGCTTTATATACTCTATAATATAGCTCTACCAGTAACGTAACTTAGCGCTTGCTAGGGGCAAGTAAAAATCATTACGAGCAAGTAGAAGTTGTTTCTTGGTTGCCCGATATCGGGCTATAGTTGTTTTAATGTTTTGCCATGAGAAACTAATTGCAACACAAAATTGTTTGCTTGGTTATAATATGCATTCTGTTTTTGATTCTTTGTTTGTAAACTGAAATCAACACTTCATGATTATAGTCTTCAAATGACTAAGTTGAGGAAAACATAAGATTAGAATGTTGATTAATCAATCCTTACTGCAATCATTTGCTTCAAATTTTGCTAATATGTGAGGGCCTGATGACAAGTGAATTTTATTCTGGACAACTAATTTTCATATCTAACTTGCCCTCATCGCAAGTGGTGGGAAATGGTTGCACAACTGTCTATCATTTCTTTCTCTTTCTTAGGACTTGCAGTCGTTGTTGAATACCTTAAAGGGTTCGACCTAAGTTGGAGAACGAACAGTTTGAACAGTTTTTTTTTCATCGGATGGAACGCCAGGAAACCACAGAAAAGTTGTGTTTATTCTGACATCAATTCATCGCAAAATCATGTTCGTCACTGACATGAACAACGCTTGGACTTTAAAGTTGTATTTTATAACCTATATATTAAGTACAATTCAAGTTGACTATATGTACGAATATTTTTACTTGAATAAAGAAAATTATTGATTTTTTAGTCCCATTTATTGTTAGACATATACTTGAATAAAACAAAACTACAGTGTCATCAAATGCCATCATTCATTAAGCAGCTCCTATGTAATAAGTTCATTCGCCATAATCTATTCAAGGAATGAATATTAAAGAACAGTCTATCGTCACACAAGCCGTTTTTTGTCAAACTTGATAAGGCCATTGTGCTCACTCGTTCATTTGCTTTTAATTTATTTTGACACTTTAAATTAAGCGACTTACCTATTGACTTATCTACCACTCTGTGATTCGTTGGAACAATAATTTAAACCAACAAAAAAAGAATAATTTTCGGATTTTTGTGAAGTCGATAAATTTTGTTTCATTTTATTAAAATCCTATGAACTACCAAAACAAACAAATTGTTATATTTAATCTTCAGTTGTTCTCAAACTTAGATCGCTCCCAAATATAATTAGTGCATGATTTCATTTATTTTTGTTGCATCTTGGAACTCTCAAAGTTGTCTCTTTAATGCGCAGCTGCTTGTCAATATAACGATGAGTTGGAGGAATGATGTTTAAACTCCACACTTTTGTGATTTTTGTGGAATAGTAGAAAAAGAGCAATAAAATTATTTCACTCTTTTCATCTTCTAAAGTTAGCTTCATATGTAATTGCGATCTACTAATAGTCTTCTACCAGACCTGTGACATACTAGCCTAATTTCTCCAAACGAAATTTTGCTAATAAACGTTCAGAGACATATGGAAAAGTATTTGCACTGACTAATTCATAGCACCTGGGTCAATAGGGATGTTTGATTACCTGTGAGAAGGAAATCTTAATTTTGAAATCCTTCATAAAATGATAGCTCAGAGCTTTTTATAGTTTCGAGACAGCTGATCGGTGCTATTAGAGGCGAAACGTTCTGTAGTATCCACTACGCTTGTAGTTAAGAGGTATGTACTACTGCATTATGACTGTTTGTAGTAGTATTGCTCTTCTAGTCATTCTTGTCAACGCGATCTGTCATGCTGAAGCGTGTGATAGAACTGAAAGTGGCGTTATCTTCCGTGATGCTTTAAAAGGTACTTCATTCCGCATGTTTGTTCATGAAATTTGTATTTTTTCACTTTTCCATGACATTTGCATCTATTCCAGGGCAAGGGAAATCGTGTGGGGTTTGGTAGAGTCCAAACCACTATTCTCTTGGTTCCATATCTAGACTTTTATTCCTCCTATTCTCTTCGCATTCGGTGGCGCAATCGTCGAGCACGCGCCTTTCACCTCTGATATCGTGGGTTCAAATCCACAGGCAATGTTGACAGGCTTGGTTAGGAATTTCCCTAAAAAGTAACCCTTCCATCGCAGCTTGCTATATGCGCCCTTAGAAAGCCTTGCACTCGATCACGTTCAGCTGTGTCCTTCGCAATAGACCTTTCCCCTTTTGAGTGAAATTTTGATCTGGACAAAAATTTCATCACAGCTTGAAAGAGCATCACAAAATTAGTAATATTCCGAAGTTTCGTTGCGAAATGTTGTAAAATGCGGATAATATAGCCTTGCGAAGTTTGCCGTTTTTCAGCCATTTTGTATTACAAATGGAAATTGACATCAGTTTGATCATCTGATTATCAATTTCCCGTTTGTAATGCAAAATGACTGAAAAACGGCAAACTTCACAAGGCTATATTATCCGCATTTTACAACATTTCGCAACGAAACTTCGGAATATTACTAATTTTCTGATGCTCTTTCAAGCTGTGATGAAATTTTTGTCCAGGCATATCTAGATCAAAATTTCACTCATAAGGAGGGGAAAGGTCTATTCAGCTTAGCTCTCAGCTGCAAGTAAGGATAATAAGAACACCCTCTACTTACTTCCACATTTCTATTATATTCCAGGTCGTCGTTTGAAAAACAATCTGTTGAGAACAGTGACTACACTCTCTGTTGTCGAATGTAGTTTGGAATGCTTGCGGGAAAGCTGTTGTCAGTCCGTCAACTTTGGGAAAGACTTCAACATCATGATGGAACATGACTGTGAACTCAATGAAGCCAAGGCATCGACAAGCCCAGGAGATATTACCAGGAACGATTCGTATATTTATTACGAAATAATGGATACAGGAAACGGGGTTAGAGCAGAAACTTGCGGTAAAGGTAAAATCTTTGAGGTTCTGTTCTTAAAACTGATACATCGGGAGTATTTGCATATTTAATTTAGCACCATAGTCTATTAGAATAAGAAGGTTTATAGGGAACTCGATACAGATGTAATGCCCCCCCCCGGAATAGACCTCATTATCTTGGTTTATGCAAGAAATAGTCGGTTCATCGTCACGTGTGTATTGTATAATTGTATTTCTGCTAAAGCAACCAATAGCAATGTTTTCATTTAACCATTGTGTAATATCACGACTGGGTAATTAAACCAACACACTGATATTGGTATTGGTTTGGCGAAAAACAATACACACGTGACGATTAACCGACCATAAAACCAAGAACAAAAATATATAGATAATAATGAGGTTTATATTATGTCTTCATCGAGTTTCCTAACCTTATTCTATTGACTATGACCTTTACTAACAACTCTGCTTCCAACAACTTTCATTGTCTTTATTTTATTGCCATTCCTAGGGCTGGGAAGCAGCAAAGATTTCCCTGGTAAAAGCTGCAAGGACATCAAAGAACATACAAACACTACCATCACCAAAGAATATTGGATAAAACCTATCCCCACTGCAAAACCATTTTTGGCGTACTGCGAGATGGAATTACATGAAGGCGGCTGGACTTTGGTCTACCGTTACACTTTCACCAATTATACTCATTTTTATATCTCAAACAATTCAGTCAATCTTCGCCCAAACTGGCCTGCCCCTAAAGCAAATGTGGACATCTCGACAGTACCTCCTTGCAAAGATACATTTGGTGCAATTCAATTTCATCTCTGGCAGTATATAGGCCGTGAGTTCTTTGTCAGGTAATGCAAGCTCATTCTGGAAAATTCCATGTCCGCAATGGAGGTCTAATTCGTCCCTCATTTTATAGGTCGAATATAAACGACTGGTACATCTGCAAGCCAAATGCTGGAAGTCTTGTGGGTAAAACAAATGGTACAATTTCTTGCCAACATGTTCGAAATATTGTAGGTAATTGCGCCGAGACTATCTTACCAGATGAGATCGTGTGGGAGGGTAGCGGTCCAGTTTTAAAAGGTTTTCGTTCAATTTACCGTTTCGATGGCTCTACGACCAAGTGGTTTCCAACACACAATTCGTGTAAAGCGAGCATAAAGAATCATAAAAAAGGAGTTCCAAATCCATATGGACAGATCTTTATCAAATAAGAACTAAGAAATGATATTCACGAAGGATTGGAAGGACATAGGGGTATAAAAATTGAGAGAATACTTGTGAGTTACTTAATTAAGGTAGTAGAAACAGGGCCTTTCTATTTGATACGCAAAATGAGTTAAAATTCATGTGGTGTTAGTCGAAGAATATCGTAGAAAACTGTTGATTATACTAGTCGATTAAAAACCTATTTTACGTCTGTGTATTTCCGTTTGTTTGTACACAAATTATTGATATTGTTATCTATTTTGGATAGTTTTATCACTGTTTTCCCTTGTGGTACACTGAGGGCTTTATTTCGTCGATTTTACTGCTTGAGAAAACCTCAGAATTAGGACATGAACTCGAACGGTCTGTGGCTAGCTGGTGACAATAACACCAGAAAGTTGCAGCTAGAAAGGCATTGAACTACCTCAAAAATTCAAGTAAAACTCCAACGTTTCTACTAAGGTCCTTGACTCGAAACATCGAAGTTTTACTCCCGCAGCTTTCCAGTATTAGGACGTGCTTCTGAAAGCCACATACTGACTTATTCGGTCGGATTGGACTTATAATATTTCTGTCTGATAGCAGATGCTGTCTCTATGTCCTTCATCTCCTCGACACTTTCTGCCAAAGTCTCTCTCGATCCACGCCTTCGTCGAAACCTGCTCAACATATCAGCACATCTTGATTCTATCTTCTCGCTATCTTCTCGTATAGCGTTGATATCGTGTTGATGAAAGCCTAGCAGACGAGCAAGTCGTTCCCAATCTCCTGCAAGAAGACTGCTCAAGCGGCCTATTTCCTTAGCATTGAAATCATCCTGTAGAGTTTCGTCAGCATCATTTGGTTGACAGTTTTCTCCACTTGGGCCTGCTGAAAGAAACGAACAAAGATCCGTTCATTCAAAACATTTATTTATTAAAAATAGACAACATTTCTCCATTACCTTCGCCTCCATCTTCCATTGCTTCTGTGTCATCTGATGTGGTCTTTAATCGTTGGTAGGCTAATATTAAATGGAATATTAAATTTCTCAAGTAAAGGAAAGTAGTTAACGTCATCCCTTATAGCGCCAGTGTTACAGGCGAGGTAACCTAAACTTTATTTAAACTGAAAGCATTCTTCTCACATACTAAACTAACTCCACGTCACCACGTTAACACTGCCAAATAAGAAAAACTATGACAGAAGCCCCTATCTACTAATAGGAATCCTTATAATATGGAAGTTTGTTTTATTTTTTTTCCAACTTTTTCATGTCAACTTACAGTCAGCCTCCTGTTGGTTTAATCTCCAGAACACGAAGCCAGCAATGCTTAGAAGCACAAACAGCATCCCCACTGAAGATACCGTACCAATGATGATGGAATTAAACTTCCTTTTATCTTTGTTGTATGTACTTTGGGTACACAATGGCTCTCCTGGTTAAAGAAATGTTAACTGGGTAAAGATCTACAGATAAACGGATTGACAAGAGGTAATTATTTGATTGAGAGAGATATTGAGATTTGAGACAGGGTGATAATGATGGTGATGGTTATTGTGATGGTGAAAAATGTGATCATGATAACGATGATGATAATATTGACGACGATTCTGATGATGATGGTGATGATGATGGTGATAATTGATGGTGATGATGATTGGTGATGATGATTGCATGGTGATTGATGATGGTGATTGGTGATGATAACAATGATGATAACGGTGATGATAATAGTGATCATGATGATGATAATGGTGGTGATGGTGATGATGATGATGATGGATGATTGATGATGATGATAATGATGATGATTATAATGGTGATGATGATGGATGATGGTGATGATGATGGATTCCGTTACCTCTATCACTAAGTACGATCCTATGTGTACTCTGTTGTGTGGCTCCCAATGTGTTGCTTGCAGCGCACTGGTACTCCCCAAAATCATCTTTCCCGTTTGGAGTCAAAGTAAGATGACTCGCTCTGGTAAACAGTGATGGTGCGATAGTTAGATCAAATTCAGCAACCTTCTCTCGACCTACTGCTTGCTTGCCTTTATACCAAGTGAATTCTGGAGCCGGATTTCCTTCAGCGGCACATTTCAATGTAACTTGGTTGCCAACACACGAGTTGACAATCGATGGTGAGGATTTTCTTCTCAGAATAGATGCACGAGCTTGTAACAGAAAATGTTTCGTCATTGAAGTAATTGTGGATAGATTTGAAACTGCCTACTTTTCCTCAATGTTTCCATGTTTTCCCTCCTTTGGAAACAATGTTTTGAAAACATTTGTAGTTAAAGCCTCGGTCAAACGAGGACGAAAGTTGATGACAGTTGCGACTCTCGCACGCGTTTCACCGCCAACTCTCATTTTTTCGCTACGTGTGTGGTAATATCCAGTCAAGTCTCATTAACTCTCGTGCAACTCTTGTTCTCGTTTGACTGGGTCATAAAAGTTGAGAAAACTCTGATGCAAACTCTTGATTCTCAACTCTCATCAACTCTCATGCAACTCTTGTTCTTGCTTGACCGGGACGTGAGAGTTGAGATAACTCTCATGCAAACTCTCGCTTCTCAACTCTCATGCAACTCTTGTTCTCGTTTGACCGAGACATTAGAGTTGAAAAAAATCCATGCAAACTCTCGCTTCTCAACTCTCAGTAACTCTTGTTCTCGTTTGACTGAGACACGAGATTGAGAAAACTCTCATGGAAACTCTTGCTTCTCAACTCTCATCATCCTCGTTTCATCGGGGTTTAACACTTACCCAAGTCTAGGCCATCTCCAACATTAAGCACATTGTTTGAATTTGGAGTAGTTTTGAGAAGAAGTGTTTTCTTTCGTGGCTTTTCTTTCTTTTGTGTGCTTTGAGTTTCGTAGAATACTGAAGAGAATAAAACAACCATAAATTGCTAAACAATGCCAATGCACCATATATTCGTTTATTAACGTCCTTATCCGAGAAGACGCGAAAGTCTAACCATTACCTACCTAAGTTTCCATCGTGTTTGTCCACCGTATCATCCACACTTCCTTGAGGTATTCTGTTCTTTGTCGTACCTATTTACCATGTAAAGCATTTTTTAGAAAACAAAAACTATGGATGGAGACGTCAACCGTTGTAAGTCACTTTGTAGCAGAGAATTTCTACCTTTTATATGGGTCTTCTTCGGTTCCGTTCGTACATGATATATTCTGTTCTTTAATTTTGAATCATTCCCGAGTTTAGTAGCGCGTTCCACTTCGGACGGAACTTTAACCTATATATTGGAAGAATCCAGATATCATAAAGTTGTGCTGTATTTAGAAACTGGGTTTACCCTGTGAAATTATACGGTTTAAACATTCAAAATTGTCAGTGTATTACTAGTAATTGGATTTTCAAGTCGAGCCACCAAGTTGTAATGATAATTTTAGTAATGTCAAATGATTCGCTTACGTACCTTTCCACAAACTGCAAAATGTATATGTACAAGTAATAAAACTAATATTCCTATACACCATTTATTCTCACTCTCATATATTTTAGAAGTCTTCATGTTAAGATATATATTACATTTTCCTAGCAAGAACGATAGAAATATTTTTGCTAGCTATCACAGTTTCGAACGCATGACTGAAGACAACAGGTACCATGTTTTCAAAAGTAAGCTGCTGAGTGCTAAGTACAGGCAGTACGTACATCATGTATGGAGCTCTTCAACTGGAAGGTTCTTCACTTAATTAAAACACTGAAGTGTTAATATCAGTTAACTTTTCCTTCTAGTACAAACACAAACGAAATATATAGTCTTGTAGAATACTACCTACACTGGACGTCTACGTTTGAAATACCAATATATTTATTGGACGGTTTGTTGTTGTATCATTAACTGTCTCATTTAATCATTGTCAATTTGTCATGATTGTGCTTTGAGGAAGTTTTTCGCCCTATTTCCTACTTAATAATATGGCTTTAGCCATATGAATGTCCATTTCAAGTGTTTGGAGACGTAAGTTCTTAGAACTGTCTATACTGACAACCAGGAGTGGCTTCCGCTAGCCACTGACGCTCAATCCTTGGCTGTTAAGCTTCAAGGGAGAACATTAACACGTATCAGTTTCGTGCTGTTGAGCTGTCTGTACCAGTGTAGGTAGTGGCTTAATAAGAAGAAAGCTTCGGATTGATAGGGATACAACTACCTGAAAAATACAAGGAGAACTTCGACGTTTCGAGCGAAGGCTCTTCATCGGGCCCTTCGTCTCCTTGTATTATTTAGATAGTTGCCGATGTTCACATCAACATCACCAAAGCTTACAGTAGGTCATAAATGAAGCAGGTAGTACGAAAGATAGCTTCGGTTTGATAGGGATCAATCCGAAACTATCTTTCGTTCTACCTGCTTCATTTATGACCTAAGCTTTGGTGATGTTGATGTGAACATTGGCAACCCGTGTTGATTTAAAGAGAGTCCTTGCATGGTATTTCTTTGTTAAACCGACCGCGACCATTTCGACCTTTTGCGCTATGTCTTATTCCGAAATTCGGGTTATTGTTAGATGGGGTGAAAGCCGTGAAAGGCGCGCTTTGTTAAATTGCTGTCAGATTGGGTTATCAATGGCTCAATGACATGCATGCAGTCAGGGTTGACAAATGGTCAGTCCAGCTGTAGCGCGCTCATCGATCGTTTGAAACCAATTGGCAGGTTGTTCAAGAGGCCGCCCGGGTTAGGTTAATCCCTGGGTTGACAAAGAAACTGACTTCAAAGAAAACTAAAAGTTGTATTTCCTATAGTTTTGAAATATTAAGCAGACCGCAGACGTGCAGATATATACAAAATAAAACAGCGGGTTAAATATTAACCCACAATATTATTGTCTATTGAGGAATTTTCCATAGGCAAATTCTAAGTTTTGAAGGATTTGTAAGAAATAAATGTTCGAGGGAACTGGCCGAGTGTTAAACACTGTCAGTTGAGTGAGTTCCCTCAAAACTTTCTTACAAATCCTTCAAAACATGTAAAAATGTTTGCTCGGGCAAAGTGACCTTACTGCAAAACGGCCTTTATACTGTATGAGCGCCTTGTTTGTAACCAATATTTTCCATTCGAACGGGAAATTTACCAATAATTTGGCCGCATAAAATTGCAGTAATATATCACGAAAATTGCTTCCCTTTTTGAATATCTTGGGACTGATTGGTTGAACTGTCGCGGGAGATTTAATAATTGACGCCATTACGTATGTTAGTACGTAGGAGTTGTGTCACTATCAATAATTAACACCCTAGAATGATTATTCATTAACCAATATTCAATGGAAGAACCGGAAGTAGAACAACCCATAGTTCATAGCGTTCGTGTCTAGACGGAAATTTGGAAAGAAAGATTTTGATGTTGACACTGGACAGAGGAAATATCATTATTGAACTATTTTGGTCCATTCAAACCGCTTATCTTCGATTTCGAGGCAACTGGGACTTCAAATATGAGTTGTACTATATCTGGACGTATTTGTATATATTTAGAAGCCTTGTTTATGATTCAGAGTGACTTTATTTGAGTGCTATCGTCGACCATTCGCGTGTATACATGGCCATTAGCTTGGTAATTTCTGTCACATCGGCTACATTTCAAGTATCTTTATAAAATAAACTAAGGAGTGTCCTCCTAAACTTTGCTTCTGTGTTGTCAAAATGGTACGGGGGGAAATGAAAAAGACGTTCAGTATTCGATCGAAGAAGAAAGTTAAGTCAGACACGGATAGAACTAGTACTGGCAGTACTGATCAAAGACCAACAGTAAAAGTGTACCTTCCAAATGGCGAATTTAGAAGCGTTAAATGCGGTGATACCACAGATATAAAAGTAAGTTTTCCCCCAACTATACCCCCTTTATCTAATTCCAAAACCAAAACAAAGTTTAAATAGAAGTCCGGCTTTTATTTGCACTTTGTTTGGATGTTTTTCGAACCGCTAGTCTAAACTTCCTCGCAGAATGTTTATCATATCAAAAATTCTTTGTTATTGTAATCACAAAAGTTTAGGCGTTAGTTCTTAGCCCTAAATTGCCATAAATTTTGCGGCTTTCTCGCTTATCTCCTGATATAAAATTTGTGGTGAATATACGTTTCGTATTCGTACAATTTCTTTACACGTTACATTATATATATCGCTTTCTGTTTATATTTTAAAATTAAATTTGTCAGCGAGCTATCGATCAAATTTAGTCTAATTAATTCCCCATAGGAAGTTAACGTATCACAATTACTTTTAGTTTCTTCCCGAAATGTTCACTAAAAGTTTAAATTTTGGATACTTTGGGGAAGATCACTAATTAAGCATATTTATGTATGGCGGCTTTTTGTCGCATATATTCCCTTGTTTATACTACTCAGATGTTAGTCTAAATGCAAACAAGATCGCGCTAAACAGACAATTTGGACGAAAGTGCAATTAGGGAGATATTTTAGAACCCCATCATGTTTAAATTTGTTGCCAAATTACGTGGCCCACCCCTGTGGGAATTTCTTGTGACAATTAGAATCAATCTGGCATTCCAAATTACAATTAGAATCCGACATTTTGTGATGACTCACGGATTAACAGCTAAAATATTTGCACTTCCTTTTAAAATATATGTTTAGTCATGAAATTAATAGCTTTTAGCTCAGCTGTTAGTTATTGAGTTTTTTATGCAATATATAGTTATTCGTTAACGGCCGGTGTCAGATTTCTTTGGGGACAGCAGCATAACTTATTTATAAATAATGTCAATATAATCTACACAATACATACAGAGAAATTATGTAAATCAGTGAATGAAAAGAATTTCCATAGACATGGAAGCTGAATAAAATTATAATTGGTGAATCCATTGTTTTTGTCCTTCAATGGAAATCTAAACTCGTTTAAAAGACAAGAGTGCAACAGAGTTCAGTTCTCAGTTAATTAACAGTGTTTTGCATTGGGTAGAATAAAATGGCAAACATATTCTTACAGCTTAATGTGCTTACATAAGATTTTGTTAATCCATTAAGTACCAAGGTCACACGAAAGCTGATGACCACCACGATGAAAAGATGTCTTGTTGAATAAAATCATTTTATTGTAGGTGGCCCTGCCCTTTAATGGGTTCAGTGAAATTGTCAAAATGGTTGCTGGTCAAATGCGGATTTAAGGCTTTTTCCATTACAATTGTTTCGTGCGGAGAGCAAACATATTGAATATTATGATTCTGGAATTTTCTAAGCAATCATAATCACAAACTCCCTTGACTTGTGTTGAATTTTGCTATTGGAATAATGGGTACTGTGAGAGATATACACCCAGGGCTAATTGGGTCGTTCCAGAAAAGATCCACACTACCCCACGGAGGAAATTTCTGCTATCCGTTGGGGGAGGGGAGAAAAAATTGTTTCTGATAATAGTAAATGTGTTAGGACATCCGAAGGGTGTAGGGGGGTTAACTTTCTATTTCCTCCGTGGGGGTGGTATGGATGTTTTCTGGAATGACCCATTAATCCCCCATTATTCAAATTCTAAACTTTTACCCTCCTTGTTCCAGGGTATTATTCATTTGGTTATCGGAAGCCTTGGAGTCGATGCCGTCACAGCGCATACATTTTATGGAATGAGGTTGGAGCATCCGCAATCGCAGAGTGCGTATTGGCTGCGGAGATGGTTCACCATTCAAGAGGTTCGGGCAAAATACGAAAATTTGCATCCTGTTGACGAATGCAGGTAATAATCAGGACAAAAAATTGCCAACCCATTTCTGTCGATGGATTTAAGCATTGTGCAACTTGTGGTAGTCATCCAGCGGTTATCAGAATGAGAAAATAATGTTAAGTTTTATGCAGTAGTCTTGTACTTGGTGGCAAATAGATAAAATTGTGAGAGCTGCTCAATCCTGGTCAAAACTATCTGCAACACTCTATTAAAACATTCCTCTGTGGCTTGGTTGTGATAATATTACAAAAGTTGGTCAAATATTTGGAAGTGTTGCTGATGTTTTGTCCAGGATTGAAGTCTAGTCTAACTTCCTTGTTCTGATACATTTCTGAAGTGCCGGCCCTCTTAGGAAACCTACATATAGACTACGAGTCTGCCACTGCTGTCTCTGGTTGTGTCAAAGATCGTGATTGACCGATTGTGCCACAATCGGAAATTAGCGATTACTGATTAATCATGCAACAATCTATCCGATACCAATTTTATAATGACATCATAATGTCAGTCTGCCAAGTAAAGGTAATGTCATTCTTTCGATTTTTTAATGATAATTTCCAATGTAACATGTACTGTAACTGCAACCAAAGTTCATACTGTACATTGCATGTTTCACACATTAATTTAACATATTGTGTTAAAAAATACAACCTTTTTTGTGTTTTTCATAGATATGCTTTGAGAATAAAATTCTTTCCTGGGGATCTGAAGGATTTTTATCAAAGGGATAAAGCTAGTTTCTTCTTTTTATATGACCAGGTACTTCGATTGTAAGCTTGTGAATTGTCAGCGTTTCCTTCAAATTATGATCTAAGATATTTTTTATTATTT